TTTTTTTTTTTTTTTTTTTTTTAATTAAATGAGGACTGATAAGACCAGCAATGTGAACTGTATTTACATGAAAGTGCAAGGCACATGCATAACTAATGACTGTTTTTTTCCTTTGAAGTGTCACAGGGTTGTGATACTAGTTCTAAAGGCTTCACTCCTACAGCAACCATGGCCCCTTGGTTATTGGTTTGTGTGTTTTAACAAACTAATTTAGGTAGAACAGGGAAGCACACCCAAAGAATTTCAAAGAAAGGGGTGTTATAGTGCAATAGCAATTTAAAATATATCAAAACGCACTGAATATTCAACCACCAGAGCTCTACTTGGGGAAATGGTTCTCTTTTCCCTTTCAATAAATATCTATTTTTCATTTTTTTACTTTGTAGTTTATTTTTTAGTGAATGTATTTAATTTTATGAATTATTTATGATTATACAGCATTCAGAATCTTCGTTTTCTGTGAAAAGGAAGAATTAGAAAATTGCTTTAAATCTTGAAAATACAACAAGGAATGTTTTAAAATATAAAACAAAGCCAAGTAAAACTGTTTACACTGATGTGCTGTAAAAGCACTAAAAATTAAACTTTACTGTAGAGTTACAAGTACATTTATATATATGTTGCTGCATCACTTGTGTAGTTAAATTGTATTTCAAGACCGTGAAGAAAAATTGAGACATGTATATACTGTTCATTATTGTTTATATTAAGTCTTGTTTTAAATATGTATGATGTGTACATATTGTTTGCAGACATTATTGTTTATGCCTTAGGAGGATGGTAGCATTTTATTTTAGTCTTAATTATAGCTATATGGGTTGTACAGTAATTATCCTCTACCAACACTGTGGAGTCTCCTTAATCTTGGTAGTGCCTGCCTTTAAAACAGGGTGTAGGGGATATTAGTTTTCCATTTTTCTATTTTGTTATATAATTTCAAGCCACCACGGCCTCAAATTCAAGTATAATCATTTGTATCCATGTGGAATAAAATTGTGACAATTTCCTACGCACACAGTATTTTTTCATAGAATCATTTCCCTCCATTTGCCTTGCCACAGAAATAACAAAAAAAAGACATTTGTAACCACTGTGTTTTATCTACTGTGTGTTGTGGTGGCCTGTTGGGGCAGATAGATCAGAATTTTTTTTGTACTAATGTAAGAGTACTTGAAGTTTTATTTAAAAGAAATGTTGTGGAAAGGTAGCATTCTTTTTCTTTTCCTTTTTTAGGAGTGTTATTTTTCACTAGTATGTGTGGCACGGATACAATAAAAGACTGTTTTGCAAACCAGATTTTCTTGGCGATTTTAATACTTCAGATCCTGTCTATACAGGAAAATTTTTTTTAATAATATCTTGGGAGTCTTGCATTTAACATTCAGTTCTTATTATGATGCATCTAATTCTCCTGGCCTTTTAGTGGTAATTCAAAGCAGTTGCCAAGCAGCCCCAGTGCAGATCAGCCCCCTCTTGGAACGAGCATAAATAACAGCAGCTCAGGCCTTCGGGTGAAGCCATTGGGCTGCCCAGTATTTGACCTGTTCCTGCCAGTCCTGTTTCCGTTGTTACACTGGGAATGCGTGTGATAACCTAAACACATGCCACATATAATGCTTCTTAAAACTACTGTCCATGTCAAGGTTTTGTCCTTTTCTCAGTCTGTAGAAGGGCATGAGTTATAATCCTTGCTCTGGCTGAAGAAAACAGAGGAATTACAAATGAATATTGTGGGACCCCAATACCTATCGCTCCCTCGCTAAGTCATGTTTTGGGTTTTTTTTTGGAGGGGGAGGTCTTGTGTTTTGCTTTTAAACTAGGCCTGCCATGTTTGAGTCTTAGAGCCTTGTTTTATACACTCCCTTGCCATTATACTTCTTGTCTCTGCTGAGAAAGAACAGTCAGTGCCTGATTTTTAATATTTTTGTTTTCGTTGCCGTCCTCAGAACATCTTGTTCAATGATATTTTTCTTTTCTAAAGTCCTATTGGAATAGTTCATGTTACCTAGAATAAAAAATTCACATTTGGGCGTCAGGCAGTCTTGCATTCTAACATAGCTCCACCACTGACTGCTTCATGCCTTTCCTTTTCATCACCTTTTGAAGGCTCAATAGAACAGTTTACTGATGCATTCTGGAGATGTGAAGATTAACCACTGTTCTGAACGTAGGATGGTAGGCTTTCAAGAGTGTTATAAGTATGCTTAGATTATTGGGAAAACTATTTCTTTGATGCAGAACAGTTCTTATTTCTCAGTTTCTGTACTGGTTGATGCTTTATCTGCTGTACTAGATCTAATACTAGCTTTCTGAAAAGTCAGAACAACGTCACCAGCTACACTGTATACACAGCTGCATTTTTTTTCAGCTTTTATTCTAATTCAGCTGAACAGCAGGGAAGGTTAAAGCAGTAACAGCTACCATAGCTGTGACAGTGAGGCAAGCATCGCCTCTCTTAACTTGACATTACCAATCTGTTGCTTTGCAGCCAGTATCTTCATTACTATTTCAGTAAAATTAAATTCACGGGATTTATTATATTTGAATGGCAAGCCTGAATCATCATGCCATTACGTATCTCCAAAGAAAAGAGCAAGGATTTAATCACTAGAAAAATGTGCTTAACTTTTCTTCTTTGCTAACTTTCTCTCCCGTTGATGTTTCTGTCTGTCTGTTTTCATAGAGGAAAAGTTTTCCAGTGTGCTCTCTTCCTTTCTGAACAAATTATGCTGGTCTTAGTACAGAGAATTTATTGACAAGCTTTCAAACTCTTTATTTTCAAGTACTGTTAATGGTGCTCAATGAAGATTGTTCTGGTTGTGAATGTGGGTTCTCTTTTTGTCTCTTGGCATCTCTTTGAAGAAAACTGGACGATACAAAACCAGCTGAAAATCAGAAGTTGCAGTTGTCTTGGACCAAATACCTATCTTTAAACAGAGATTGTTCTTTAATCTTTTTATATGATTTCTGTAGTTCCCTAATGACTATTAGAAGGGTGGAGGTGCTCTGCTATGAGTAGGCACAGACATCTTAGGAACAGTTATTTTAATATAGTATGTTGAGTGGGTGGCCTAGGGGATCTTGTTTATTAGACTTGTATCATTCCTAGAGGTCTTAGATTTAGCAAAACATGCCTGCAAACTGAGGGCTAAAGACTGAAATCAGGAACACCGCAGTTATGCTATTTGATTTTGTAGCTCTCTCTGAACTACCTTGAGCTTACAACTTAAAAGTTAACCACAAATTCTACAGCTGGTATGAACATTCAGAAAATGAATGTTACACAAATTTCTGTTGCTTGTGTTGTCCAAACTAAACATCATTCTTAGGACTAACAGCTAAACAGCTACATTTCTAGGCGTGTCACCAATTCTCAATGTCTTATTCTGAAAGTAGTTTCAAGTTTCCCATCTGTAAAATATTGTGGAACGGTCTTTAAGCGCATTGGCCTGGTATTCACAATCCACACAATTTAGGTGTGTGGTTTTCACAGTCAACTGTCCACCCTCTTCAATAAGGAAGTCTCTAACAATTGATACAAAGATCTTTTCAGAGAATAAAGTGTTTTATTTAGTAATGTATAATCTTATGGATTGCTGAATTGGTGAAGCACATATGAAATAGACTGAATATACTAGCTATCAGCTAGGATTTAGAATAATTAACAGGCAGTCATCATCCAGTTAATCAAATAGCATGCGATCGGGTACCAGCTGCCATGAAAGAAAATGCAAGATCCTTTCGATTCAAACATGGATGGCAGACTATTTACATAAAAGGGAGTGGGCAAAGAGTGACTCCAAGAAAGCAACTTGCTTTTCCTCCAAAAACATACATGTCACGATAAACCATTGATTTTGCATCAGTTGGTAAGCTCGTGTCTGGGTATGAAGATGGCAATGATGTTATCTCCTGACAGATGATGGGGTTGGGGGAGTTGTACTTGTTTGAAACGCCTTTAATTAAGCTGTTAATAGCCGGTGACTTGACTCACTCACATGCAGGCTCATCGCCCGGTGGCCGGAGCGGCGGTGGGAGCCCAGCCCCAGCCCCGGGCGCGGGAAAGGCCGCCGGCATCTCCCGTTCCCCCAACGCGACCCTGCGGCCTTGGCCGGCGGCTGCCGCGCGCTCGGACGTACCCAGCGCTGAGGCGCGGGGCCTCGTGGCGACTGCTTCCGGCCCGAGCCGGTCCGCCCCGCAGAGCCGGCAGCCCTGAGGCGATCCCCGGGGCAGGTACCGACCCCCCGCGGGGCCCGCAGGCCACAGCCGGGCGGACAGGAGGATCCGGGCCGCCACATCGGAAACGCGGGAAGGGTCTGGACGAGAGTTGAGGCCGCGGTGGGTTAAACCCACCTCCGCGCCGGCGTCGCCTCAGGGAGGGCAATGGCGCTGGCAAGGCGGGGCCGCTCAGCGCGGCGGCGCCTTCTCCCCCCTGCCCTTGGCGCCGTGGTGCGGCCCGGGCCGGCTGCTCCTGCGCCGAGAAGGCGGGGGGTTCTACGGGGAGCTGAGCATGCGCGGCGGCGCTTCCCGGGGCAGGGGAGCGGGCGGTCGCCGGTCTGAGTCCTGCCACCGGCGGGCCGCGCTGGCGGGGCCGTTCCCATTCCCAGGCGGGGCCGTGGCACCGCCGTGCCCGGGAGAGGCGGCGAGCCGGCGTCCCTGCGGTCGTCCCGTCTCGTCCCCTCAGCGCCGGGCGGGCTGCGGTGGCGACCGAGGCAGCGCCCTTCCCCGGTGCTTGCCCGAGACCCGCCGCTAGAGCCCGTCCGAGGGACCGGCCTCCTCGGGCCACCTCTCGGCCTGCGCCTCCCGAGCGGCGGTGAGGGGGCCGGGCGGCGGGCAGGGGCTGTTGGTGATGCTGGAGCTGCCCCGCCTTTCCCCTGGGCGGCCGTCGGTGGCCTGTGGGCGGTGGCGCCTGCGGTCGCTAGAGAAGATAACGCAGGGCGAAATGTCTGTGGTGGCAGACGCTCCGGATCCTCATGGCTCCCTCAGCGAGCTTAAACTGTGGGAACCCAAAACCTCTCACTCCTTGGTTTGCCTTTCTGCAGGGAGCTCCTGAAAATCTCCTATCAACGAGATTAAGGTGCCTTTTTCAGCCTCATTTTCCCAGATGTCCAGTTTTGTCTGACTCTTCGGTTTCTCATAGTCAAAGGAAGTACGTTGATTTTCTTTCTACAGGTAAAATATGTTGTTGACAGTACTTAATCTGTTTAATGGTTATAGAGAATAGTAATGAGTGGGAGCGTCCTGAAGCTAAAATAGAGTATTCAGATGCCTGATCTTTACATTGGCGTGCCATGTGCTGCCTGAAGGGAACACTTATTTTGCCCTTATGTACTTTTGTGCCTATATGTATTCATATATACGTGTGCATGTATGCATGCATTCATACATATGCATAGAAACATATTTATACATCCACATGTATCTGAATGTGTGTGTACGTATATTTATACGTAAAAAAAAATATGTGTGTGTATATGTATAAAAACACCTGTTTGGGGTTGCCTCAGCTCTGAAATTACTGTTCAGAATGAAGCACTGAAATAATAGTCTGCTGGCTTAGATAAGTTAACTCAATATAAATAGCATTGCTGCTTTTGTTCAGGATAAGCAACTTTTAAGAGTTGTGGGCACTTCCTTTTGGCTCTGTGCTTCCTTATTCTCAGGAAGCTTGACTGGTCTGCAGCGTGGGGAGGAGCAGGTTGGAATGTACCTTCTGGGGGCTTTCCCGGACATCAGCAGTGTGAATCTCTTGTCCGGTGCTGAGACCTAAATTGGTGCCAGCAGTCTTAAACACTGGGAGAATATGGAGGGAGTTAATCTTTTGTTTAGTGTAACAGTAAATGCAATTTCTGCAGAGGTTCAGATCCTGATCACCCTCTTAATATTGACATTTTGATTTTGTATTTGATTTACATTAAAATTGGGACAACGCAAGCCTGTTGCTGGTATTCTCTGATATTTTACCATCACTAATGTTGTTGCCTAACTGAAAGGTAGCAGAAGTTTGAATTCGAATACAATATTCATGCCTGGAAAGGAAAATTTATCTTGGACTCTGGTCACCAAATTTTAAGGCCCATCTATGTTAGGTCTGCAGCTTTAAATTTACTGTTTATTGTAAAGAATATATACAGTTCTCTACGTAGTTGTACTGTAACAAGTGCTTTAAATGCTGTATTTTTATATGAACTGTTGAACCTTCAAACTACAAGGTTGAATTCATTGGGATGAATTTCAGCGAGCTCCAGATCAGAATAATTTCCAGGAATCTTTTTTGATACTGCTTCCTGATAATTTTTTTGTGGGTCAGTGATTACATACAAACATATTTTTTTGGGTTTATAAGTGGGAAGAAGAAGAATGCTGAATACAGGTAGTTATAGTTGCTGAAAGTGTTTACATTAAAGTGTAAGATCATTTTTTATATGCTCTTGGTGTAGCTGAAGCACTGCTCTTGGGTCTACACCGTCCTATTTATTATTTTTTTTTGAAGAGCAAAAGATAGCTGAGGACATGTTTCATAATAATGAATTAAGGCAAATAAAAGATGAACAGTATTTCTGTCTGTTTGCTTGTGTAGCACACCTAGGAGCCGTTTGCTGTATAAGCAGAGGCACAGCATCGCTGAGAGAGGATGTAAATGTACTTTTTAACATTTGGAGATTGCAAGGGCAATGAATTTATTATTTTTTCCTGGATAATGTGCCTTCTTAAGGTAATATGTTTCATTAATGAAATAGGAGAGAGAAGTCTAACTCTTAAACTTTTTTTCAGATATTTTTGTTGACAGTAGATAAAATGGCGACGTTAGTTCACACGTTAGCAGATCACAGTGATGATGTCAACTACTGCGCCTTCTCGTCTTCGTGCTTGGCTACTTGTTCCTTGGACAAAACAATTCGCGTTTATTCTTTAGACAACTTTACTGAGCTTCCCTACTCGCCGTTGAGAGGCCACACCTACGCTGTGCACTGCTGCTGCTTCTCTCCATCAGGACACCTTCTGGCTTCCTGCTCGACAGACGGCACCACCAAGGTGTGGGACACCCGGGACGGCCGGATGCTGGTGGCGCTGGAGCAGCCCGGCGGCAGCCCCGTGAGAGTCTGCCGCTTCTCTCCCCAGGCCGCCCGCCTCCTGTCCGGGGCAGCGGATGGCAGCGTCGTGCTTTGGGACATGCAGTCGCTGACACTCTACAGGTGAGCGCCAAATGTTTTTTGACTGCTTGCTTTGTGGTGACAAGAGTGTAATTTAAGTCGTGTGCTGTCCTGTGTGCAAGGCTGGCAGGCTTACACCGCTGAGCCATACCATGGAGAAACAGGAATAGGGTTTGGAAGACCAAAAGGTTATCGCTGGGTGTTGCGGATGGAATATTGACATGGTTATAATTTAGCATCCATTCAAAATTTATTAATGATGTGAAGTAGATTAAGAAGTTGAATTTTAGCAGCACTTAATCATTACGCGGTTTAGGGGGTTACAAAGTGAGTAAACAAAATAATTGAATGGAGACTTAGTTACAGATTCAAAGATGGCAAGGTTCACACTAAGTTATGAGAAAGTATCCTGCATCAATACATATACGTATGAGTAAAGGTACAAATCACAGACTAATACATACGTGTGTGTGTGTATATATAAGCAAAGCATTTAAGGAGATGAGGGAGAAGTGCTGAGTCTTTTTTTTTTTTTTTTTAAGTTAATGCAAACTCAAGAAGCTTTAATTTTTACTGAGTTATCTTTCTTCTAAATCCTGATTATTTTTTTAAGTTCCCAGAAGTTTTCATTGATTTAACATTAAATCAGGATGCATTGCATACTGCATGCGTCTGGTTTCTAAACAGTGGGTCAACAAAGTATGATACATAATATACAGTTAGTGGAGCCTGGCTGTGCTGTGTGCCTTATATTGCAGGATACGTAGTGGTTGTTAGTGAAGTATTTAATTGCAAGGCTCTCTGGAGTTCAGGAAAGTTTTAGAAGCTTGATAGTAATCCAACAATCGAAGAGTTTGGAAACTGTTGACACATCTTGAATCCATACAGTTTAAGACAAAACGGTGACAGAAAGGAGTGGTGGAGCTGAGTTCAGTACGACTGTCAGTGTTTCACCTGGGTTTCCAATAATCCTTAAAGGCAAAGCAGATGAGGGGTTTTAGTGATGATGCACAGTCTATGTTTCAGTAAAGTCTTCAGGCCAGTTGCGATCTGTACGTGGGCAAGACCGTCTCTCTAAAGTTAGGAAAGAACTTAAGAATTTGAGAGAATTGATGAGATCTATCCTGTAGGATGAGGGAGCAGACATTTCTAAAAGCCAAACTTGCTCGGTTTTGGCAGTCCCCTGTCAAGCATATTACTGCTTTTGTGGCCTATCTACCTTTGTCTTCCACAGCAGTGATTTAGATAGGAACTGGAAATTTTTTCAAAATGATTGATAATCAGATGGCAAGTACAACAGAAGTATCCAGTTACTCCTTATCAGCTCCACTGTTGTAAGTGACAGTCTGTTCAAATTGTGAAGTAAGGTGGCTATTTAAATCATCTCTGTGATGGATGTGAATACCGTGAAAACAACTCAATTTATGTGTATTTCTTAGTAGCTACAATGCTGATATCTGGCCTGAAAATCTTAAATGCATACTCTGAATGTGTGTAGAACTATTTCTTACACTGTTAAGTTTTCAGACTGACTCTGCATGGTTTCTGTGTGAAAGAAGAAAAGTTTTAAAAGCTGCACTAAGGAAAAAAGAATTGGACAAATAAACCCAGGAAGCACTGTGGTGTATTTGATAGTATTCTTAATGATAGAATTAAGGTAGTCAATGCTTTTTTGAAGGTCCTGAGTCTGATTAGAGAGATTGTCAGGAGAGTTTATTGACTTGTCTTCTGTGTCATTAAGTGGCAGTAAATAAAATTTCTGTTAGCAAAAGAGAATGAGCTGCTGTTCTACAAAATATAATGACAGAGTAAATAAGACTGATATTTCTTGCTCTATGACTGTTGCTTATGGCTGTGATTTTTTTTTTTTCCCTGCACTTAAAGATCCAACTGTGTGTGCTGGGCCGGATCTTGTGTCTGTTAAAAGGAGTGAGACACTTCCAATTGACGTTAGGCACTGTCAGCTAAGCTGAAGGGTGTTAGGCTGACCCCACTCCCTTCCTGAGGATTGACCACGCTGCCATATCTGCTAGGAATTTTCTGTTAAGATCAGTTTTACAAAGTGCTTTGGCTGACTTAGTTAAAATACAGGAAGCACTTTGTTCAAATTGCTTTCTCATGTGTATGGGTAGTCCAGAATTAACGGTGTATCATAAATCACAAAGTATTATACTCAGCTACAGATTATCAATGGGTTAGTGGGTGTTCTCTTTTGTTCCCTGTTTGTGTACATGTAAATCTGTGTTATGATAGTTGTGTATTTGTCTTTGACTTTTAAAATTTATCCTCCTATAGAATTTTAAGAGTGCATTCTGCCTTTCAAATGGTAAGTCCATGCAGATTGTCTTTAGTTTAAAAATTATTTTATCATTCAGTTAAAACGATTGCCTTGGGGTGCCATCTCACGTTTTTCCTCCTGCAGTCAAAGAGCAGTTCCTGGTTCCTGCAGTTGTGCTTATTTTGCATCGTTTTCCACAGTTGGTGGGAGTTTCTTCCCTTTCTGTTACCAAGTTCCAAAGTGCAAAGCTTATAGCAGTTTGACTTACTGTATCAGATTGCATTTTAGAGATCACTTCTTCAGAACATTACTTATTCTAAATTCAAATCCCATGTACTCTTGCTTTTCAGATCTGGGAATGTTAAAGATGGTTCTTTGGTGGCCTGTGCATTCTCTCCTAATGGAAATGTCTTTGTCACTGGATCATCGTGTGGTGATTTAACCATTTGGGATGATAAAATGAGATGTCTATGTAATGAAAAAGCACATGATCTTGGCGTTACCTGCTGTGATATTTCTTCACAGCCAATTTCTGGTTAGTTACTTGACTCATCAGGGGAGGAACATGGAAAAAAAAGAGTTATTGTATTTCTCTCTAGCTCTTGTTTTCATATTCTTTTTGACATCAGTGCTCAAGATAAAAATAACATTGGAGAGAGCTGATGTTTTAGAATATTCTGAATATTTTTAACTAAAAATTGTGGTCAGGTTGATGACAAGGAATGTACTTGTCAACAAACAAGGTGATTACATGCTTATGATAGCTTTCAATAGCTAATACTCCTGTCAGGGCATTCTTAAGCCATATGTTATTCAAAGTCAACATTTTTTCTTTTTGTGTGTTGCTGTTTAATCAACAAGGGTTGAAACTTCTGGGATTATTGGCAGATTTACCACATTACAAAATCTATACAAGTAGTGTTTATCTGGTACAATTAAAGATGAGTTTAGATCGAGACTCTCTTTACCTGCCGAATTTAGAGCAAAATTAGAAACAGAGTTTCTGCTTGGTTCTTTATGTTTTAGTCTATTTGTAACTGGTGGCTCTCCTGCCTTTGTAGTGGATTCAGCCACAGCTGTGTGGAAGCTCGTCAGATCTAGAGCAGTTGTAATCTGTGCGGGCTTTCCCGTCTGACTGCAAAGTTTCAGTGCTGCCCTCCTCCTGAATGAGTAAACTTAGAGAAATTACCTAGCGATACTGGTAAAAAAATTGGCAGATCTTGCTAAACTTTTCTAGTGAACCTCAGTGGAAGACAGTGTAGTCCTCCTCCTGGTTATCCTGAAAGCTCTGTATGTGCAACACCGTAATACCCCAAGTTGATAACTTGTAAAATAGTGTCAAAGTCTGTGTATCATGACAGAATTCTCATCCAGACCAAGCTTCCAAGTACCATGTTCTTAGTTACCAAGAAACATGTGTTTTTACGTGGTAGCTAATACGTGCTGCTCATCTCTCTGTGAGACCCAAATCTTACACTGTAAAATCCTAGCAAAAATTATGGACTTTGATGCTTTAATCTTTTAACAGATTGCAGTAGCTCTGACTGTTCCTGTGAACAAACAGGTCTATGCTTAGTAGGATTTTATTGTGATAACCATATGAAATTAAAATATACTTTTTGTGGTGGAAAAATGCAGCTGAAATCTCAGGTTATTTTTGTAAGACGCTTGACAGTAAATATTTTGACATTTCTGATAACTACAGAGCTGGAAAAACAAGCCCTTAAAATGTCTCTTACAATTTTCTGGTTTCTTAATTCTGGTGTTTCTTACAGGAATTCTAGGCTTTGGTACTGGCAGAGGTAATGCCTCTGAAAGATTGTTATGGTGACTTGTGTCAGGCTGGTTATGCCAGCTCAGTGGAATAGAAGGGCAGAATAATTTGGCACAGGACTTAAGAATAAAAACAAATAAAATTGATCATGGGCTAAACCAACATGTTTAGAATGGAACATGATAATTCAGAAATGTTCTTATCCACCAAATACAGAGGGGAAAGCTATAAAACCATTCCTGTTGTATGTCATCTTTAGTGCAGTATTTCTTGAGCAGTTGGCTGCACAGCAGTCATGAAACATTGCTTAGTTTATAAAAATGAAAAGTTGAACATTTAAAATTACAAAAATAGCCTGTCAGATAGTCTCAAATTTTGTATATGTGTATGTAGTTAAGTTTGAGAACTACTGAACTGTAGAAGAAATGGATATAACCATATAATTTAGGTTAAAACACTATATTTGTTGCACTCAGTAGATAGAGGAATCAAATATTTACTGTCAAGAAAACTTAAAATATGAGCCCAGTTCTGGTCTTTATCTACTTGTTCTGGAAACAGTATAATAGGGATGCCTGTTTTTTACTTCTAAATGGTTTTAGAACTGCTGCAGTTATTTTTGTCAACACTTTTAAAAAGTAGTACTGAGATTAAGGAAATTTACTAACTTCCAGTGTAAGAATGCTGATGTAGTTTACGCTGTTATTTTCAGTGCTTCTGATTCCCATTAATATATTTGAATTTCATCAGATGGCGAACATGGATTCAGATACTTCCAGATGGCTTCTTGTGGTCAAGATAATCAGATCAAACTCTGGCTTATTTCACTTACAGATTTCTTAGGTGTGTATAGTGATTTTTTTTCATATTCCAATGTCTTAAGTCTTTCATGACAGTTTACATCCAGCTTGTCTTATACCTTGTCAAATATGCACATATGTAATAATTTACTTTTTATATTTTTAGGTGTTGAATTAAAATATAAATGCACATTGAATGGACATTCTGCCCCAGTTCTGGCTTGTGCATTTTCTCATGATGGGCAGATGTTAGTTTCAGGGTAAGCAGTATCTTGTTTAAATTTCCTGCAGATGGCTGTCCAGGTTCACGCTTCAGCATTGTAAAACAGAAAGTTCAAAAGAGTTGGAGATTTCAAAATGTATTTCCAATAATTAAGGAATAGATCCGTGACCTCCAGAGCTATTGAAGTGTCTTTACAATTGGTCTGTGTCTTGTGGGTGACCGACTTTGAAATCTAGGATGTTGCAAGCTCTGTTTTCTTGAGTATTGTAACGAGATTCATGATTTCCTGGTTTTGGGACATTTATGAGGTCTTCCATGTGGATACGCTAGCATCTATTAAAAATACAAATATACATTGCAATATTACTGTCTCTTTGGGACACCATTTAGGATTTCCTTCTCACTCAAGTGCTTTGAGGAACTTTTTAGAAAGTTAAATATCTTGAGATTTTTGTCCGTGATAGGTTTGGTTGAAATTAAAAATTTCTTCACTGATCCACAGTCAGAGTATGGCAACATAAGCCTTTTTTTCCATAAAAAGTACACGATCGAGGTAACTGTATACCTATGGTTTTGATGTCAGCCCTGCACAGAATAATGGTCAAGACCCGAATTAATCACGAGCGCCATCAGGTAGAGACTAATATTACTCCTAGTCTTTATTAGAGGGTGGTAAGGGAGTTGTCGGTGTGATTGCAAGGTCGCTCTGTTATGCTTGGAAGGCCCAGGAGGGTGGCGGTGATGGGAAGATTCCTGGTGCCTGGAAAGATGCAGTTTACCTCCAGGAAGGGTCAGGTAGAGGGTCCAGGCAGCTACAGGCCAGTCAGCCTAACAGCAGTCTCTGGGACGGGTGTGGAGCAAATCCTCCCAGCGGGCTGGCTTGGAAGGCCTTCTCCAGCAGGGCGTGTGGGGGACAGTAGCAGGGATTGCCCAGGGCACACGGGGCCTGGCCAGCATGGCTGCCGCCTGTGAGGAGAGGCCTGGCCGCACCAAGGAGGGGAGACATCTGAGCTGTATGGAGGCTTTTGACGTGGTCTCCCAGTGTAGTCTTATAGCCAAATTGGGCAGATACAGATCAGAAAAGTGGGCTGTAAGTTGTGTGGAAACTGTCAGGCTCAAATGGCTGTTGGTGATCAGCAGCACGAAGGTAAACTGGCAGCTGCTTAGTAGTGGCTTTCCTCAGGGATCAAGCTATTGAAAGAAGAAATTATAAAGAAGGTAGACATAAGAATGTATGTTTTTATGAATATTAATGATGCCTTTATTCTGCACTTCTCATGAAAAGTGCTTGATCACTTCTAAACTAAGCCATAACTTGAGATAACAAATACAGTGATTCAACTCTAAATTGTAATTGTCTTTTTTATGAAGACTTTCTAAACTGAAACGGAAGAACTCATGTCTTGCAAAGGAAAAATAAAAGACTACAAATAGTCTGCAAATAACCTTAAAACTATACAAACCCCAGGAGACAATAGCTTGCATTGACTTTTTGCTTTGTATTCTTTTTAAGGGAGTCTTTTTCAGTATTTGAAGATTGTTATGAATGTGATCTGGAGTTATTTTATTTTCCATTAGACATACAGATTATTGTTTTCCCTTATATTGTCCTGAATGAAATGTCTATCCCATAAAGTCATTCAGGAAGCACTGCAGTCATGGTGAATAACTATGCAATTTGTATTGAATGAAATATTTTATGTATTGATTGCATTGCAGCACTATGTTATGCATTGCATTGCACTACTTCCCTGCTTTGCAAGGTTTCCACAGTGACTGGAAGTGCTGGTCATGGACAGCCAGACTCTGTGCGTCTGCTCTGCAGATACCACTTGCAAAGTCATCGAGTAGATGTGTGGAACAGATGATGGGGAGAAGTGGGAGTCGGGGCCAGTTTGTGTAAGCACAGTGCAAATCCCTTACATCGGACACGTGTGGAGTTTTCATATTTAACTATATTTTTTACATCATGCTGGAGATACAGCTAATCAGTGGTGTTTTAAGGTGGACATGGGTGCAGGGGACTTAGATACCTAAGCTTTTCATAAAGTGGTGTTAAGAAATCTGTTTGCTCTTATTTTGTTTGTGGAAAAGTTTTTTTTCTTCCTCTTCTTAACTAAAAATAGTTTACTTGTTCTTCTCTGCATCATTTTAACATTGATGTGTTTTTTTTAAAAGGTCTGTGGACAAGTGTGTCATAATATATGAAACTGTAAGTATAGCATAGTCCAGTATCATTCATTGGATTGTTGTCTTCAAATATCAGCAGTGCTTCTGAAGCGTCTTATCAACATATAGAAATATTAAAGAATAGGAACTATATAAACCAAAAATATTTACTGTGCATTTGGGGAGGGGGGGAGTTGAGGAAAAATGTCTCTAGAGAATTTATCAGTCTTTCTCACTTTTTATTTACATTTCTTTGAGGGGTTTGTTATTTTGTTTCTCTACAGTAGAGTATAAAAATATGAGCATAAAACAGAAGCATAATAATTCAAGAAATTTTTTTTGTTAAAGACAATGTATTTTCTTTAAAGTTGTTTGGGCATTTCTGTAATACTGTTAGTACATCATTTGTGGTTCACCTGTAAGTGGTATTACCTTTAGTACTTTATAGTATTATTAATAATAATAATAATAATAATAATATTGCTGAAAATAGAGAATGAACAAATTTTAAGCTTCTCCAGCTGGCTCTGTGCACACTACTATACTGATACGATTTTTCAATTAGGGTTAAAGTTTTTCACCAAAATCACTAATTTGATACCTTCCCAATTTTTGACCCAATTATTTTGGTAGTTTGAAGCTTAGACAGTTATGTAAGAGGTCCCCTAGATTTTTAGAACTCTGGAAAGTTGAAATATGAAGAAATCAAAACCATAAATATTTCTTAATAGTATTTGTCAGCTTTTGTGGCCTTAGGTTATTACCAAGTCAGACAATAACTTATAGCTGTTGAGAAGTGGGTACAATAAACCTTCACGGAAGGGGAAAACTTCAACCTAAAATAGGCACTTTCCTCACAATGGCCGGGTCAAACAACTGGAGTTCTGACCGATCAATTAGTGACTCAGAATAACTTCAGTCTTCATCTTTTCAGTCTGCCTGTATGTGTCAAAGAAATAGCATCTTTCATAAGAAGGAAAATCTTTCAAATCATAACTTAAAACTGTGTGGAAATTCAGGAATTTGTTTTTTAGTAGCATCTAGTGTCCAAGTAGGAGAACTACAGGTGTACTTAATTATTGGCCAAACTGAAGGATTGTAGCATGAAGTCTGTTTGAATTTCAGTTGCCTCTTTTAGTTGTTTCTAATCCTGGATTTGTAAAAGAAATGTTTTTATCCACATGAGCAGGCGGCCAATGTGCTTATAATTAATTCAGTTGGTAATTCTGAATTGTTATGCTGGATGTTCCGTGCTGGCTGATGGTTGAAGGACAGCAGCGTTCCAGCAAATTGAATAGGGGGCTTCAAGCAGGAAATTCAAATTGCTTTTTTGACTCTGCTGCTCATCAGCTTTGGCATGGTTATATAACTTCTCTGAAGGTAACTTCTGTCATCTTCCAAGAAGCAATATTATTCCTTGTTTTGAAAGAAAGTGTACAAATGAATGTTCTTTTTGTTCTTTAAGATTTAAAATCACAAATATTCTCTTACAGACTACTGGCAATATCCTTCATACTTTGTCTCAGCATACCAGGTAAGAATTGAGTATGATTGTTCTGTTTTACTGTTAATAAATTAAAGAAATTAAATCCCTTTCTTGTGAATTTTCACACATCTATTTTTATTTGTAGATATGTTACAACTTGTGCTTTTGCACCACATAGTTCCTTACTTGCCACAGGTTCAATGGATAAAACTGTGAGCATATGGCAGTTTGACCTTAAGCAACCCTGTGCAGGTTAGTGTGTGAACATCTTCTGAAGATGCAAAAAAACCCCCACTTTTTCTTACATGCAGTTAGTTTGTAACCTAAGGATTATGTGCACGTTATTTATCTTTTCTCTGAATTGATCTTGTTAATGTCCTACAGAGATACTATCTTACTGTTTTTTAAAGAAAATATGTATTTTAACTTTATTCATCTGCTGTATCTTCTTTTCTGATATTTGCCATTTATTACTCTCTGGACAGCATTTAAGAAATTAATATTATTGCCAGAGAGCTGAAAGACTTTAGACAAGTATCATGGGCAATGAGTTAAACAGAAAAGATGCTAATTGTAAGCATAATTGTCAGCCAAAAATACAGCTTATCAGTTGTTATGTGAAAAAAAAAAAAGGAAGGAAAATTAATGTTACAAAATATATCGGCACCTTAAGCACGTGCAACAAAGGTACATAGATCTTTGTTCAAAGCTCAAGAGTAGGTTTTGACTTTGTTCTGCTTTTCTAAGGAGGTGTGAGACTTGGTTTCAGTGTCTCTTGATGCTTTTCTGTCTTTTAGTTAAGTTCAAAGTTCATGGAAGTTTAGGCATCAGAGAGAAGAGTCCTCTAAATTTTGAAAATTGATTGGTAAAAGACAAACCCAAATTATTGCATCCCACTGCAGTAAATATCTAAGAAGCATTTCTTATATTAGGTGTTGGGAATGTGTAGTACTGAGAACATTTGAAAAACAGCATTCATTACTGCCATTGTTCTTAGAACTGGGATTTTTTTTGTTGGTGTTTTTCTGGGGACAGAGCGTTGTTTATTTTTTCTATTTAAAACTTTTTATCTTTCCTTTCCAAAGCAAATACTGTAGAAAATGAATCTAAGGTGGCTGTTGAGGCCTGGTCAGAGGACGATGTTTCAGCCTGGCTTTGTGCACAAGACTTAGCAGACTTTGTTGGGCTTTTCAAAAGGAATAACATCGATGGCAAGGAACTACTGCATCTTACTAAAGAAAGTCTGGCTAATGAATTAAAAATTGGTAAGAGTATAGAAATCCAAGTAGTTTTAACTCTTTAGAGTACATGTGGAATGTTGGAACGAAAGCGAGTTAGGAGTTCTGTACAAGGATGTTTTTTCCCCTGAAGTGCATGTTATTTCATTACCAGGGCTTATAAAAACCCCTAATGGCACATTATCCACAATACTTTTTTTTGGTGTTTGCTTATACATAGAGACATAAAAATGCACTTCCACCAACAATGCTGTGTTAAGTGATCTTACCTGCTTTTGTTTCCATTTTCGTTTTTAGATCCTGTATTATTAAGCTGTGAAAAAGGAATTTCAGCTTTTGTGTATACTTAATGATTCTGACTTTGGTAAATAGGGTACTCTACAGTTTTTCCTATCAGTCTGCAAAGGTGCCATGTTTATAATACTGTGTGGTGAACTACTTCAAATTTAGCAATGAAATTCTTCAGTGCACTGTTACCATAAAAGAAGAACACAAGGTATTTGGTGTAAACAACAATAGAAAAACACAAGGTATGTCTTGTGTAAAACACAAGAAGGTTTAGTTCTTACTTATTTTGGAGATGAAGCATTTTATGTTGACAATTAATAAGGATCAAGCAAAGCTTGCCTGCCTCAGATACTTTATGATTCATCAGGTGTCCTGGTTAATACATTGTCCTGTCACTTTATTGCAAAAACCGCGATTACATTTTAGGAGGAATTACAAGGAAGTGCCATATTAGAAATGATTCCAAAGTGGTAATTCTGAAATAAGAAATTTAAGGATGGTGAACTACGCTGGAACTTTCTGAATGTAAATTTTCTGTTAATTTGGATGGCTAGATTTAGGTGTAAGTTACGTGCTGGTATGTTTGCCAAAGTGAGATCAAGTATAACAAAAGGCTGGATAAGTTAATATACCTTTTAAAAAGTACAGTTTTATTTCTAGAAGTTAGTATTTTGTTCTTTGTAGGAAGACTGTTCCCTTCCTTTTGTGTGTGTGTGTGTGGTATTGGTCTGTATCACACCATAGTATCTCTGTGTATCAACTGGCTTTGTTGAATTCTGGAAATCAACAGAGATACTGGGAATCTGTCAGGAATTGTTATCCATGAAAGACTCTTGGCTTCATCGGTTTCTGTGCACATTTTCTTTAACTTTGGAATAGTCTAAAACTCCGTTGCAGGAATCACCAGCTGAGGCTTAGCAAATAAGACTTCAAAGTCATGTGAGACTTGAGTGCAGCGTGACCAATGGTGAGAACTGACCTGCTGAGCATAGTGTGCTCTGGGGGAAAAATATCACCAAACGCATGAGTTGCCTGGTAGATTTGTAATGACTCTTATCAAGAACCATTTCAATCTCAAACAAGAAAATAAAATGTGAATTGTAAAAGCTGATTGCAACGCAGGCTGTAAGATGAAAGGATAGGTGTGGCTTTAGGGGGAGGACATGTCGAATACAGGCTGACTATGGGAACCTGTTGCTTTCCGGCTCTTTCCTTTGCCGTAAAGGGATGCAGCGAGGATGGATCGTACGAGCTGCAGTGGGCTCTGTACCATTATCAGGTCAAATGCTTGTTGATCGGTCTCTGTTCTCACGACTTAGGTTTTTTGCAATCCTTTTTCTTCAGTAGGTACTTTTAACACCCATCATAAGATTAAGAGTCAGATTTTCACAGGTAGCTCTAAGAAATTTTTTAAAAAGCTCTAACTGAAATAACTTACTATCTTAATAAACATAAGCCACTCCACACATATGAACTAGCCTATATGCAAAGTGAAGCAATGAGTTCCACTTTAGTGGTTATATGAAAGACATTTTATGTACTACTCAAAGTCACCAAATAAAATCATTCAAATCAATCAGTTTTGAAGTTGTAAATGCTTGTGATTCTGCTTCTGCATATCATTCTGCAACTATAATTGGCACAGAGTAGAAATTACAGCCTGATATATTTGACTAGAAGAATTGCTCTTTGTCTGCCACGGCTCAAGCATTTACAAAATAGGAATATACTGTCTGCCTAAAACTTACATGGTTTTCAGTGTTATTCAAATTCCAGTTGAACTAAATTTTAGGAGTCTGTCACTATACAAATACTTGAATGAGCACATTCTTCCTCTCCTTGATAACCTGTTTTCTTTGCTCTAAAAATGTGACATTTACTAGTTCCATAAGATCTTGCCAAAGAACTCTTTTTGGACCATTTTACTTGATGAGTGATAGGAGGATAGGAGGGTTTTCTTTTATTTTTTATTAGCTGCTTATTTATTGTCCTGTTAGTCCTTGCTTGAGCTCTGATTTGCATTTAATAAAAAGGGTATCCTCATGCCTTTGAAGACGTTTAATCTAAGAGAAAGCGATCAGCAAGTGGTTCACATAACATTTCATTAGCTTCTTTGATTATTTTTGACAGCTTTTGGAAAGAATGCTTCATTACCGTGCAAATGGAACTAGCCTCTTTCCGACCTAATTGTCATATAATATGAATAACACTGTATTAAACTATGTAAGATGTCAAGCAAAAGTAAAATGGCCATTATATACATTCTGGCTGAAAAGCTTGTGTGCAAGTTCAGGATCTCTCATTCCCAGCAGGCACAATGCTACATTCAGTGCAGTTCCACCACGCAGCTCGGGCTCTGAAGGAACACGCTGCCTCTTCCCATGCAGAACAGATGGGGGGGGGGTACTGTTCCGTGCCTGCCTACTCTTTTTTCCTATCAGGCTCACTGAATGTGTTAACCTAAGGTGAATCTTGACTTAAGTCTGTGTGCAGAGACGGGACAGGAGGTGAGACTAGGTCTAATTTTTGGAAAACCACACCTTCAGTTTGGGGGTTAGTGCCATACAAAGCATTTCGTACTGTAATTTCACAAATCGTGACATTGGAGGCATTGCAAATACTTTCCCTTCTTCTGCAGGCCACTGAAGAGGCTTTTCATTGTCTCAATCCTAATTTGGGTTAGGTATGTAAAGAGAAACAGATGATTGTCTTAAAGACGGTTCAGCTCACTCCTACCTCACTGCAGGGTGTCCTTAGAAGATAAAACAAGGATGGACACGCATAAGCTGCATTTTGAAATCAGCAAAGATGTGGGGGGTTTTGTCTTCCTCTTCTGGTTTTAAGGTTTTGCTCTAGGTACATACAAATAGTATTAAGTTTTTTCCTGCTTCATATCTTTATCAAGAAATTCTGAGCATGAGCTTGAAAACAACATTTTCAAGCAGAATTTGAATAATTTGTGATTCACCTTGCCTTACATGTTTACTGAAGTAGGGCTAAACTTTGGGGGAATCGCTCAGTATAGACTGAACAGCAAATTTCACGTGCTTTGCCTGTATCAACAAAATCTTATTTTAAGTGTTCTTCTATAGCTAGTTTTCAATAGATGGTTCATGGATGGTTCTTTATTCCCTGACTAGGGATTTAATCAGGAGGTAGTTAATTGGTGTGCAGACTGGATACAATAATGTTTAATCTCTCTGCATGAGAAGAATTTAGGAAAACTTGCCCATGTGATGGAGATTGTAAAAGATGCCCTCAAAATCCAGTTACTAGTACAGAACTATTAGGTTCCTTTTTTACCTTTCTTTCTGTTGGTTACATTCTTAATTTCTCTTGATCCCAAGCTGGTCTTGTAGGTTTTTACAAAATTGCCATGCGAAGTCTCCCTAAGAATAAGCATGAACTTTTATTGTGTTTCAATACTGTATTTCAATTCTTACATTGTCTTTATCTTTACATATGTCATTACCTAATCCTTATTAAGGAAATGTAGATTAACTTATTTCTTTTGCATATATTTTTTTTTACATTGCAACACTCTTTTGTCTTTGCTGATTAAAATGACTTGTGTGTTAGTGTGACTGAGCTTTGATCCCTTTGCACACATTGTGTGGGGCAGCTGAACAGTTGCACGGTAAAGCTGGAAGCACTGGTGTGTTAAGGCCAGTCTGCAGATGGAGTAGGGCCGTTGGTTGGAAGACTGTTGTGTCAACAGTTTTAGTAGTGAAGGTGGAAAATGAACTGCAGTAGGAACTAGTATTTACCACTCCTAGATGGGAAGAAAAAATTGTAATAGACTACACCCCCAGAGTTTTTGACATAAAACAGTTTTTAGAAGGAAGATTGTTTTATGTTGATGCAAGATGAAGGTTACTGATATCTGGGATGCATTTCCAATTTTGACAGGTTAAAATTGTAGTGTGACAGTTTATAGAACTATAAAACTACTTTTCTCATTATCAGATTTCTTTTTTCTTTTTCTGCTCACAATTAAGTTGGAAAGAATGGCTGCTGTCTAAAAACACAGATGCAGCTCTTTTTTTTCAGAATCATGGCTATTGTATGGTCTCGGTAAATAGGTAATAGAACTCAAATCAGTTTTGGGACACTTGAATAAATTTGTGGTCTTTCATGGGGGAATATGTGTTAATAGGTATTTGTGATGCCTTACATGATCATGAAAAAGAGTTTATACCACAATGTGCTGTCCCAAAAATCTCAGACCAGAGTATTCTTTCTTTAAATAAAAGCAACCCAAAACTAATGCAGTTTTCACAGACTCAGACAAAATACTCAGGTGCCATAGGCCATTTCTATGCAAAAGAGATTGCTTGTATTTGATTGAACTGAATTAATTAATTGAACTGAATGAATTAATTGAATCTTTACTAAAATGAAATATTCTTACTGCTCACAGTAACAGGCCACTCTTCCCCTAGCCACCCCCACCATCAGATACTGTTTGATAGTGAAACTATAGATGTAAGTCATTTAATATAGCACTTTAAATAGCGTAATCGAAACACTGATGCCTTATGCTGCTTTGCAGATAGTCATGCTTTTGGGTTTTGGTATTGGTATTTGTTTTGTTTCCAGTGAATGAGAAGTATAAATTGATTCTGCACAATGTGTGGGAATAAACATACCTTGTGTGTTGCCACCCCCTGCCCACCTTTAGTGGCTGGAATCAAGCATTAAACTAGATTGTGAACAATCTTTTTGGCAGAGTTATTCATAAAATATAGCTCAGAAAATGTAATCAAACTTGGTGAGAATTTGTAAAATCTTTAGGTTCCCATACATTAATCTCAATATAATTTATAAGTGTAAAGCCCTACCATGAATCCAATTTAAGTTAGCAGCATTTCTGCTATTGTAGCTAATGCTGTGCCAGACATTTAAAAAAAAAAAAAAAAAAAAAAAAAGGTGTAAAAAAAATACACTCAGCTGCGGAAGCAGCTGTGGAATGCTGCAAAATGATCAGCAGACCAGATGGAGGGCAGCTCAGCCCCGTGGGGTCCCGGTGTTGAGAAACTGACCTCTGAGTTAGCTCTCTGGAGGTGCTGGAAGAGAAGTCAGTGCCTGTTTCCTGCAGTGGGTTTAGCAGCAGCGTTGGCAGAGTGAGGAACAGCCTCGTGCATTGCAGTACCGGGGGGGGGGGGTGTACCGTGAGGGCTGCAGTGTGTCTTACCCAGGCGTTTTAGGGCTTATCATTATGTTGCCAAGGAGATTGTCCACAGTGAGGGGTTTTTTTTAAATTTTTTTTTAAGAATGGGCAGTTGAGAGTAGATGAAGTTTTATGGTTTTATTGATACTGTGTGAATGAGAGTGCACCTTATTATAAACGTGATGGACTTTTCTGGGGAGAGGAATGCCAGGGCACAATTTAATGGTAAAAATAAGTTATTTCCATTTTGGTACAGGTTGCTTACAAGTATTGCCTGAGCATTGATGTGCTGTAAGTCTAAGACCTTATCTTTTCATGACATGGGAACACGCAACTATGAAGTGTAATTTGCAGCACACAGCCATAATTGTGTTTGTGGTTTTATTTTGAGATTAGGAGGACAGTGATCTTTTTTTTAAAAAAAAAGCTTGAGGCAGTCTTCAGTCGTCCCTTTGTACGCCATGAGACAGCAATACTGTACATCAGATGTGGTGTATGTAAGGGAGGTGTGAAGGACCTTGTATCACAAAAGCTGATGTGGAGGTTAAGGGAAATCGAGTGAATTCTGCTTTCACTGAAACGGTATGTCCTTACATTTAGCATGACTAGGAAGGACACTGCAGTCAGTAAAAAACAGTTTCTGTGATGTTAGTGGGATTCAGACTTTTACTTTGTAGTTTACTTTTTTAAATCCCTGCAAACAGATAGTCACCACGCCAGTAGTGTGTTTTGCTGCCCTGCTGGGTGTAATATCCCACCAGACAGGCAGTTGATGCAAACACTGGGGAAGTGAGAAGGGTGGAGGTGGTGCTGGGCAGCCTGAGGCAGGCTGGGCCCCGGGGTGCCCAACGCCTGGGGCGATGCCAAACCTGGGAGGGCTGGGAGTGGAGTAAATACCCCATCATCCTCATTTTGTTGTGTAACACCACACCGACAGCAGAGCCCTTGTGCTCAGAGTGCCCAGCCTCGTTGAAATTAGACTTTTGCAGAGTTTAAGCAGCATCGGAATGCCTCCTACTGATCTTGGGACAAATGTAGCACTTTTTGTCTGTAATGGTGACATAATGGTGACCAACCGTGCTATAGCTGAGCTGTTAGCAGTGGTGGCCTGGGGCGTCTGCACCTCGTTCTGTGTTGGGTGAGGGTGTCTCCTGTACCTCCTACCCTCTTTGTCTTACATGTCTTTGTTGTCCTCTTTATGTATGGATACCTTTTCAGAATCTCTAGGCCTGCGCAGCAAAGTCCTCCAGAAAATTGAAGAACTGAGGATGAAAATGATCTCTGCTTCTGTTACTGCCCCTGATGAGTTCTTATGTCCTATCACAAGGGAGCTTATGAAGGATCCCGTCATTGCAGCAGGTATGTCTTTAAATTCTGTTGATGAAAACGAATTAAGGGTAAAGATGGGTGTGGGAACACAAAAATGGGTGTGTCTTACCAGCCCTAGAAAGATAAACTATTTCTAAATAGCTGTTGCAACAAAATAGAACTGTGGTAAATGTTTAATCTGCCAAATTACCTCTCTGATAGTGCATTGCTCCATACAGTACTTTTCTCCCTTAGTGTCAGCTCTGCTGATGAGGCTGTATAGATTATTTTTTTCAAATGTTCCCTTCCTCTGTGAGCCCTTGCAAATACAATTACAAACTGAACAGGGTTGTCTCAGTAAGTGCAAAATGGATTTGTGCACATGGGGGGAAACCCAAAAACCAGGCTCGTTACTACTTTTAGCACACCATGTATATCGCACTTAAAGTTGACACAGAATGAGAGGCAATTAAATTCAACAAGCCCTTGAAACTGAGATATGCAAGGAGCAGAAGATGTTACGTAGTTAAAATATCTTATGAAGAACTAGTGTTTTATAGTTCTAATCTTGGGGGGGGGGGGGGG